TTTGGAAGTTAGGAGGAGGTGCGGGATTACCAAAACTGTTGACCAGAGGGCTGAGGAAGGGTTGTTGAGGTGGTTCGGACATGTAAAGAGAAAGGAGCGAAACAGAATGACTTCAAGAGTGTATCAGTCTGTAGTGGAAGGAAGGCGGGGTAGGGGTCGGCCTAGAAAAGGTTGGAAAAAGGGGGTAAAGGAGGTTTTGTGTGCGAGGGGCTTGGACTTCCAGCGGGCATGCGTGAGCGTGTTTGATAGGAGTGAATGGAGACAAATGGTTTTTAATACTTGACGTGCTGTTGGAGTGTGAGCAAAGTAACATTTATGAAGGGATTCAGGGAAACCGGCAGGCCGGACTTGAGTCCTGGAGATGGGAAGTACAGTGCCTGCACTCTGAAGGAGGGATGTTAATGTTGCAGTTTAAAAACTGTAGTGTAAAGCACCCTTCTGGCAAGACAGTGATGGAGTGAATGATGGTGAAAGTTTTTCTTTTTCGGGCCACCCTGCCTTGGTGGGAATCGACCAGTGTGATAATAATAAAAATAACTTCACTACAGTACCAATACTTCGCTACCATACTTCACTACCATACTTCACTACTGTACCAGTACTTAACTACAACACTTCACTACAGTTCCAATACTTTTCAACAATACCAATACTTCACTACAGAACCAAAACTTCACTACAGTACGAATACTTCACTACAGAACCAATACTTCACTACAGTACCAATACTCCACTACAGTACCAATACTTCACTACAGAACCAATACTTCACTACAGTACCAATACTCCACTACAGAACCAATACTTCACTACAGTACCAATACTCCACTACAGAACCAATACTTCACTACAGTACCAATACTTCACTACAATACTTCACTACAGAACCAATACATTGCTACAATACCAACACTCACTACAAGTACTGTAGTGAAGTATTGTAGTGAATATTGGTATTGTAGTGAAGTATTGTATTGAAGTATTGGTTGCTGGGAGTGAGAGCAAAATTGGTACAAAATTGTAAATAGGAAATATTGGTACTGTAGTGAAGTTTTGGTATTATAGAAAAGTATTGGTACTGTAATGAAGAATTGGTATTGTACTGAAGTATTGGTATTGTGGAGAAGTATTGTACTGAAGCATTGGTACTGTAGTTTAGTATTGGTGCTGTAGTGAAGTATTGGTATTGTAGAGAAGTATTGGCATTGTAGTGAAGTATTGGTACTGAAATGAAGTTTTGGTTCTGTAGTGAAGTATTGGTACTGTGGTGAAGTATTGCAGTGAACTATTGGTATTGAAGCGAAGTACCAATACTTCACTACAATACTTCACTTCTGTTCCATTACTTTACTACAATACCTATACATCACTACAGTACAAACATTTCGCTACAATACCAATACTTCACTAAAACACTTCGCTACAGTAAAAATACTTCAATACAGTACCAATACTTCGGTACAGTTCCAGTACTTCACTACAATACGAATACTTAACTACAGTACCTCACTACAATACCAATACTTCACTACAATACCAATACTTCACTACAGTACCAGTACTTCACTACAGTACCAATTCTTCAGTAGAATACTTCACTACAGTACCAATGCTTCACGTCAGTATTTCACTACAGTACCAATACTTCACTACAATACCAATACTTCACTACAACACTTCACTACAGTACCAATACTTCACTGCAGTACTAATACTTCACTACAGTACCAATACTTCACTACAATACCAATACTTCATTACAGTACCAATACTTTGCTTCAATACCAATACTTCACTACAGTAACAATACTTCACTACAACACCAATACTTCACTACAATACCAATACTTCACTACAATACTTCAGTACAGTACCAATACTTCACTAAAGTACCAATACTTCACTACAGTGCCAATTCTTCAAATACAGTACCAATATTTCACTACAGTACTTCACTACAGTACCAATACTTGACTACAGTACCTATACCTCAATACAATACCAGTACTTCACTACGGTACCAATACTTCACTACAATACTTCACTACAGTACCAATACTTCACTACAGCACCAATACTTCACTACAATACCAATACTTCACTACAATTCTTCACTACAGAACAAATACTTCTCTACAGTACAAATACTTCGCTGCAATGCCAAAATTTCACTACAATACTTCACTACAGTACCAATACTTCTCTACAATACTTCTCTACAGTATCAATAGTTCTCTACAGTACCAATAGTTCACTACAGTTTAAATAATTCGAAACAGTACCAATACTTCACTGCAGTACCAACACTTCACTGTTTTACCAATACTTCTCTACATTACCAACACTTCACTACAGTACCAAAACTTCACTACAGTACCAATACTTCACTACAGTACCAATCCTTCACTACAGTACCAGTACTTCACTACAGTACCAATCCTTTACTACAGTAAAAATACTTCACTAGAGTTCCAATACTTCACTACAATAATTCACTACAGTACCAATAGTTCACTACAGTTCCAATACTTCACTACAGTACCAATCCTTCACTACAGTACCAACACTTTACTACAGTACCAATACTTCACTACATTGCCCATCCTTCACTACTTTACCAATACTTCTCTACAGTACCAATACTTCTCTACAGTTCCAATTCTTCTTTACAGTACCAATACTTCACTACTGTACCAATACTTCTCCACAGTACCAATTCTTCACTACAGTAAAAATACTTCACTACAGTACCAATCCTGCACTACAGTACCAATACTTCACTACAGTACCAATACTTCACTACAGTCCCAATACTTCACTACAGTACCAATCCTTCAACACATTACCAATACTTAATTACGGTACCAATACCTCACTACAGTACCATTACTTCACTACAATATTTCACTACAGTACCAATACTTCACTACAATACTTCACTACAATACTTAACTACAATACTTCACTCCGGTTCCAATACTTCGCTACGATACCAATACTTAACTACAGTATCAATACTTCACTATAATACCAATGCATCACTACAGTACCAATACTTTACTACAGTACCAATACTTTACTACAGTACTAATACTTCAGTACAGTACGAATACTTCACTACAATACCAATACTTCACTACAATACCAATACTTCACTACAATACCAATACTTCGCTACAGTACCAATACTTTCACTACAGTACCAATATTCACTACAGTACCAATACTTCACTACAATACCATACTCACTACAATACCAATACTTCACTACAATACCAATACTTCGCTACAGTACCAATACTTCACTACAGTACCAATACTTCACTACAGTACCAATACTTCACTACAATACCAATACTTCACTACAATACCAATACTTCGCTACAGTACCAATACTTCACTACAGTACCAATACTTCACTACAGTACCAATACTTCACTACAGTACCAATACTTCACTACAGTACCAATACTTCACTACAGTTCCAATACTTCATTACAGTTCCAATACTTCACTACAGTACCAATACTTCACTACAGTACCAATGCTTCACTACAGTACCAATACTTCACTACAGAACCAGTACTTCACTACAGTACCAATACTTCACTACAGTACCAATACTTCACTACAATACCAATACTTCACTGCAGTTCCAATACTTCACTACAGTTCCAATACTTCTCTACAGATCTAATACTTCTCTACATTACCAATACTTCACTACAGTACCAATTCTTCACTACAGTACCAATACTTCACTACAGTACCAATACTTCACTACAGTACCAATATTTCACTACAGCACCAATACTTCTCTACATTTCCAATGCTTCATTACAGTACCAATACTTCACTACAGTACCAGTACTTAATTATGGTACCAATACTTCACTACAGTACCAATACTTCACTAGAGTACCTATTCTTCACTACAGTACAAATACTTCACTACAGTACCAATACTTCTTTACAGTACCAATACTTCTTTACAGTACCAATACTTCACTACAGTACCAATACTTCCCTACAGTACCAATACTTCTTTAAGTACCAATACTTCGCTACAGTACCAATACTTAACTACAGTACCAATTCTTCATTACGGTACCAATACTTCACTACAATACTTCACTACAGTACCAATTCTTCATTACGGTACCAATACTTCGGTACAGTTCCAGTACTTCACTACAATCCGATTACTTAACTACAGTACCTCACTACAATACCAATACTTCAATACAATACCAATACTTCACTACAGTACCAGTACTTCACTACAGTACCAATACTTCACTACAGTACCAGTACTTAATTATGGTACCAATACTTCACTACAGTACCAATACTTCTCTACAATACCAATACTTCGCTTCAATGCTAATAGTTCGCTACAATACCAATACTTCGCTATAATACCAATACTTCGCTACAGTACCAATACTTCTCTACAATACCAATACTTCGCTACAATACCAATACTTCTCTACAATACCAATACTTCGCTACAATACCAATACTTCGCTACAGTACCAATACTTCTCTACAATACCAATACTTCACTACAATATTTGCTTATCATTATTTTCAGCTATTTAATACTAATTTTTTTAAAATACTGATTTAAACCTTGTTGATGAATATCATGATAATTCAGAATTCCAACTTCATGACTTAGTACCTTGCTTATCGTGTTATCACTGACCGGAGAAAATGCTTTCTCATCCCTCTTGAAATGTCTCTCATTGCGTTGTTAACTCTTCACGTCGAGAAAGCCTGAATGTTAATGTTTTTCTAGCTCATCGGATTGATAGTACCCTCCCCTTCCTCGAATCAAACCTGTTGAATCCCAATGGTTTAGAACTTCTCCCTAACTGTAATAATAAAAAGCTCGTTTCTCTAGGCATAGTCTCATTTTCCTGGATATTAGGGAAGATAGTAAAGTGAATTATCATGATGTGATAAGGTAATCAATAGCTTTTCTACGCACTGTGGTGTCTTGACGAGGAGCAGTTCAGTCATGTCATAGCGAATTTTCTTGTAAAGCATGGCAGACGTACCACAAGAAGGAAGCGCTGCTGGGGCCGTAGAATGCCCTGGTGAAACAGTAAGAGGCTCTGCCAAGGCAGTAAGAAATACTGAAGAGACAAGAGGCCCTGACGAAGCTCTGAGAGGCTTGGTGCTGGAAGTGAAGCCGCTGGTATGTCTTCATGATGTTCTCCCCAGCATCCGTGTTTCAGGGTTGCCTCCACACACACCTCTGACACTGAGAGCAGATACACACGACGACGAAGGAAGAAAGGTGAAGCATTAATGTTTCCTTTCCTTACTTATTCTAGAACATCATTTTGCAGAATATTATTGACAATTTATTCCATTTGCATAAGTACGTTCAAGTAAGAAGTGTTTTGTTTCTCATACATAGTGAGAAATTTTCTGCTAATTCAAGATGACTACTCATTGTTGTATTTAATGGCAGTCTTCAGCTGGCTTCCACTGGCTTATTGATTCATGTTTGGTTTCAGTAATCAGTAGCTTCATCACTCTAATACAAATAGGACAAGAATGCACAGAGTATATAAATGGAAGACAGTGAGGTGTGGGAGGCAGAGCATTAGCCCGATGTTGTGGTATTGATAATAATCGTTGTAGTAGAGGCGATATAGTGGAAATATTAGAGGTGATTTGTAATTGCTAGGTGTCACTGTATGGTGACCCCGTGGCCTGGCTGGCAAAGCTCTCGTTTCACGCACGGAGGGCCTGGGTTCGATTTCCGGCGGGGTAGAAGCATTTCGACGTGTTTCCTTACACCTGTTGTCCTGTCCGCCTAGCAGCAAGTAGGTACCTGGGTGTTAGTCGACTGGTGTGGGTCGCATCCTGGGGGACAAGATTGAGGACCCCAATGGAAATAAGACAGTCCTCGATGACGCACTGACTTTCTTGGGTTATCCTGGGTGGCTAACCCCCCCGGGGTTAAAAATCCAAAGAAATCTTATCATATCTTATCTTATATCATAAGCAGCAGGTGTTCGTGTGTTGTACACATTCATTGTTCTGGCGCATCTTCATGTTTAAATGTGTTATTTAAGACTTGTCTCTAGGTTTCTAGCTGCTTCCCCAACTTATAGATTATCACAGCCTCCATACGAGATCATGTAAATTCCTAATAGGATTGATTCAAAATTCTTCATTTTGATGTTCCCTTTTGCGAGTGTTTCATATAATTTTGGGCAAGCTTATATATGGGAAGGATATCCTTTTGTTAGTATGATGTCCATGTGTCAAGAATTGTAAAGTGTTCCACGAGCCTCTGTTTACTAATAGTTGACTAAGGTTGATAATTTGCAGCTGATCTGATGCGTCTTGGAGGAATGTAGATAAATGGTTCAGAGAACCGACGAGTTGATGAATTCGACACATGTGCAACACTTGGATATCTTTATTGAGGAAACATCTCGCCACACAGTGACTTCAACAGTTCTATACAAAGAAGAATAGTGAAGATCAGGAGTATATAAGCCACTTCTCCACGCATATACTGTATTCTTTTCAAAACAGATAGACTGATTACATCAAACTCCTTCTGATCTTCATTCACCATCTTTCTATATATAGGACTGATGAAGCCACTGCGTGGTAAAACGTTTCTTTATTAAAGATACCCAAGTGTTGTATAAGTATCTAATTTATCAACTTGTCGGTTTTCTGAACCATTGATCTACATTCCTGTCAGACACAGCAACATCTTGGGATCTTGATACAGGGAATTCTTCACTTGCCTAACCTATAGACATGACATACTTTCACATGTGGATTTGTCCACTGTGATACCGTCTACGACTGCTTCACCTCACCTGTCTACAGTATGTAAACAGCTTCACGCATCGCTGTATTTTTCTCAAGATTGATGAACTGATTACATTGACTCTAGACTGAGGGACTGATTACCTCAAACTCCTTTTGATCTTCACCATTCTTCTTTGTATAGGACTGATACCCAAGTGTTGCACATATGTCTAATTTATCGTCTTGGAGGAACTTAGGGCCTACCTAGTAAAGGATTAAGAATAGTGTGCTTGTAAACAGTAACCCTACTGCTACTTCTCAGTCCCCCCTTGGAGCGAATTTGTTGTGGGCCTATTTCCCCTGAATGCCCACCAGAAGGCACTGCCTCAAGTTAGATATGCACAGCTATGCCTCGCTCTCACTCCTAGACCTGCAGCCTTCCAGTTAACCGGGTCCCCTCCCGGACTGGTTCACAGTGTTCAGTGTGAGGTGTGTCGAAACCAGTCCGGGAGGAGAGCTTGTTAACTGGAAGGCCGCAGGTCTAGGAGTAGGAACGAGACATTGCTGTGCATGTCTAACTTGAGGCAGTGCCCTCTGGTGGGCATTCAGGGGAAATAGGCCTACAACAAGTTTCAAGGGGGGACTATGAGAAGTAGCAGTAGTCTACACGCTCCTCGTGTCGACACGACACTACAGGTGGGCAGAAGGGGGGAAAAAAGGAATAAATCCCTGCATGAACTGGCTTTGTTTACCCATCAAATTTACATAATTCTAGCAGGCCTCAAAAACTCTCCCATATATCAAGGTGGAAGAGAAAACGGCTTGCTCAATCAGCATAGTGGAGGATGGAGCAAGGATACGCCAGCACCGGAACCTAAACTTTATATACAGGTTGCTCACAGGTCTGTGGACATCAGTCTTGTAAACACTTCAAGGGACACTGAACCATCCTCACATCTGTAAACAATGACAGTAACATTTCCTAGGGTGTGACATGTGATATAAAAGGGCGGCCCTGCCCTCTCCTGTAATACAGACTTTTAAATACACACTTCATGCAACAAACTTGCAGTGACATTATTTACAAGGAAATTTATTATAACAACACTATGGGTACCCTTAGAAAAACATAGATTACGTATATACATGGTATTGTCCACCCTGACTCGGCCATTTGGACTAACTATATAGTGTATGAGCACTGATGCACATTTCAGCGAGAAGACAGTTAGCGTAGTCGGCATAGGAGTCGGACAAGTCAACAGGTACGTCAATCTCACACAAATGTACTGCTGTCATGGGTCTCAGACCGTAGGTATGTGGCTGTACATGACTGTGATTGGTCGTAGTAGCAGAGGGATGGGAAATAGACAGATTGTCATTAGTATTAGTCTGGTTGTGGCTTTGCAACGCCGTTCCTCCAGCTCAGCCTCGGCTTGCACATTGTCACTGTACTTCATGTGGACAAGGTGAGCCTTCTTGGTCGCTCCTGTGGCAGTCTCCCTCACCTCGAACTTGTTGCCCTGGAGTTATCTGAGGACACCGTAAGGACCAACAAATTTGGGAACGATACATAAGGTTTGCGTGGATTTGCAAATGCACCTCGCTCACCTTACTTTCCTTAGCAACAGTGTTATTACGATTAGACGTACACCTGGCTTTCTGGGTTTTTAGACCCGAAAGACAAATGGAATCGCCACGGTGTTGCGTAGGATTTTGCACATATAATTTATGTAAACCTATCGCTCAACCTTACTTTCTTAGCACACAGTGTTATTACGATTAGACGTAAACTTACCTGTTGCTTTCTTGAGGTTTTTTAGTACTCTCTGAAAGACAAACTGTGAAATCCGCGTCTTGCTTACGCTGACATTGTTAGTGTCATATATAGGCTGAGGCGGAGCAAACAGAATTTCAAATGGCAAATGCTTATCATTGGGACATACAATGTGAATGGGTGTCTCACCATCACATAGTGTTTGAGTTTAGGGTCCTGCACATATGGAGTGACTTCGTCATGGGGTACACTCGGACAGTCACTCTGAGCAGAATAGTGTGCTGCCATATGCTTGCTGATCATACTAAATAGATCGTAGTCAATCATAGATCATATTCATCTGAGTAAACTTTGACATTACCCAACAGTATATAAAATTTCACTAAACTCTAATAAATAAATAAAGAATAAATGCAATCTTGCATTAATTCTTATTTTTCTTTTATTCCGTATCTTTACAATCCTCTAGGAAAACTTTTGTTTTTGTGTTTTTTTGAAGAAAATCAAATTAAGTAAAAAAATTTAAATTAACAAGACCAAATTCAATATGGAAATACTTCCTGTTAAGAAACACTACTGCTGCAGTAGTGTTTCTTAACAGGAAGTACAAGTTTACATAACTCGTCCATCATAAAGTCCATCAACACTGACAGTTTGCAACCTGTCAGAAATTAATTCTCTAGTAATGGTACTTAATCCAACGATTCCAAGTTTTTCATTGTTATTAAAATTTCAAATTTTCACCTAAATTGTATAAATTTATGTAGTGAATCATCATTAATATTTTGAAGCCGATCAGGCGAGGCAATCTATAGTTACTTAATGGATATCTGTATCAATATTTATTTATTAAAATTTGGAAATTGGGAACAACCTATAACTGAGAATTTGAAGCAGAAAAGGAGAGGCATCTCCAGTTATCAAAGGAACTCCTATGGTTCCAAATTTTCCAAACTAATTTAGTGTATTAATAAATTTTCCCTAACAAAGAAAACTTAATGGCAACTATCATGGTCAAAAATACATCAGCTATCATAATAATAATAATAATAATAATAATAATAATAATAATTAATTATTATTATTATTATTATGATAGTTGTATCTTTGGCCACGATAGTTGCCATTAAAAGTTTTGCTTTTTAGGGCAAATTTATTAATAAACTAAACTCGTTTGGAACCATAGGAATGCGACTTCAGTGACATATTGACATCAACGACATATTACTATATAGAAAGCTGCTTGTTATGCAGAGCAATTCGGACAATTTAGGTCACTTTTGTCCCAGGATGCGACCCACACCAGTCGACTAACACCCAGGTACCAATTTTTACTTATGTGTGAACATAGACAACCCATGTAAGGAAACACGTTCACTGTTTTCACCCCCTGCTGGGAATTGAACCCTGACCCTCACCGTGTGAAGCGAGAGCGTTCACCACCAGGCCACGGGCCTGATGGTGAATATCACTCTTTGCTAACGTCGAAATAGGAATCACAGTTTCTGAATGTTTGAAGATAAGCTGCAGAGACTTTTGGAAGCTATCGAAATATTCTAGGAATCAGAGAATGGGTTCTAGAACTCTCGTCATAAGGTAACTGCTCATAGAAAATAGTTCCAAGAATCTCGCCCAGCTTACAGTACACTAGAATTGAAAATTTTAAGCTGATTGAATGAGATCGCCTCATGTTACTAAGAGAAATAAAAATGAAAAATCTAAGTAAGAAAAAAAATAAAACAGAAAAAAATCAAGCAACTAATTTAATGTTCTCCTTTGGGTAACCTAATAATATTTTACATACGGGTGTAATGTAATTAAGTTCAATCCAGTTAAGGGGAGGGTAGTTCTGTTTACTTGGATGAAGAGCCTTTCACCTATATTAACGTTTATTCATTTCGTATTTGCCATCAGTTCAGCTCGTACGCTCACTACACGAGTGATGAGAGTGGCTGTGTGGACGTGAGTAGCAGTGAGAGTGTGGGAGGGTCATACACTGGTGTGTTTCCTGCTGGTTTGCTGTCATCACTCCGTGGTGTCCCAGACAAGTTCATCAGATTGTGGAAGACTGACTGTGTAACACCTTGGAAGGTACGTAACATCTTACTCTGCATATCTTATTTCAATGTCTCGAATTTCTTTGATGTCTTCTAGATGTTTACCTGGAGATTACCTGGAGAGAGTTCCGGGGGTCAACGCCCCCGCGGCCCGGTAACCTCTGCTCTTTAATAGGGACTGTATGCTTAACAATGTTTATTATCTAATATATAGTTGGCAATCCATGAGTATTTTCCCAACATATTTGTTTTGAGGAACTTAATTATTGTTAATAAAGGGCTTCCCTAATTTGGGTAAAAGCATATACGAATTTTAATATCTCTTACAAATGATCTGGAACCGTAAGTGGCGCAGATTGGGAATGTTAGGGTCACTGACACTGGCCTCCAGTTCAAAAAGCCCTCTCTTGCCCATGGGGTACAGCCAACATTTGAGATGTAGGCGTCTGTGTGAACGGATATACGTAGGATATGGTGGGAGACGGCGAGACTTCATCCTCAATAAAAGTCAGCAAGGAAACCATATAAATATATCTAGTTGGCCTTATTTTATTGTAGCCAGCTGGTCCAGTGGCTAGCACGTCGGTCTGGAGTTTTATGACTCTCTGATCGCGGGTTTTATTCCCGCCTGTGTTAGGGTTTGTTTGGAATCGTGTCATTACGATTTCCTGAGTCAACTCAGCGAGGTGCTGTCTATCACTCCGCTGCACCATTAGATCCGAACCCCGAACCCTACAACAAATGGTCCTTCAAGGGAGGTTTTTTTGAGGCTGGTGAGGGGACTCTTGATCTAGGCAATTGGATCTGTGCTCCAGTTCCCTGAACTGAGCCAGAATGCCTTCCATACCTCCCATCCCTCCTTACAGACGCTGTATAATCTCTACCGGTTTAACGTTTCCCCATGATAATAATAATCGGAACAAATGTTGACAGCGATCGTAAAACTTTTAGGAATTTCTGTGATTTGAGATGTGTATAGTGTCGCTGAGTCACGGTGCCCGCCTAACTCCATCTCACTCCTTGCAGCTTTGGTCACCAGCTTTGTACGACTCTCCTGTGATATCTACGAGTGGTTGTTTAGTGCTCTTTGGAAGCTTACGAGCTGCTGAGGCAAACTTCATAAATTTATGCACGAAGGGAAAAAGAATGCATGAACACAAACAAGAAGAAAGCTAGTAATTCAGTCTTCAATAAGCCAGCTCTGTAATAAGATTGTCCGTACCTGTTTACGGTCTCTGCATGTGCTCCTGTTGTTTCAGATGTTCTTGTTCACAAAAAAAGCCAAGGCAAGCCATCCCAAGTAGTCTGTTCGAAGCCATTTGCTTGGTCTTGGTCTCTTTCTTTGTGGATCTATAGTCATGCCTACAAGTTCTTGTTGTCTGGTAAATGCCTTTCCTGTCAAAAGTTGGTTAATTGTGGCTTACATTAGGTTCCATAGTATCTCAACAAACTATCAGAGTGAAGCTTCAGGTAAGTACGCGTGCTGCTCGCTGGATCTCTCTTAATTAACCACCGCGCCACCAGCCACCACCCCCACACCTAGTTTGACCTTCAGAGTCAGGTGAAGAAAGAAGAGTTTTCCTGTTGTGACCGAAGAAAGGGCCTGAATATTTTCAGGAGTATACGAAAATATCTAGCCTAGACAGGACTCGCAGCAATGGTTTTAATTTGGAAAAATTCAGATCAGGGGGAATATAGGAAAGTATGGTTTGGTAAAGAGTTGTGGGGTGGAACAAACTCCCAGTACCGTTATAGGCACAGTTTTTGTTTTAGCCTTTAAAATGGTTGGATAAATATATGTAGATGTGGGTGGGTGTGATTAGACCTGTAGCTTGTGCTAACAGGTCGGTTGCCGTGTTCCTCCTTAAGCAATGTGACTGACGACTAGGTGGGTCATTGGCTTAAGCCGGTAGGAGACCTTTGGACTGCTCGCATGGCCAGTAGCCTTCTGCAGTGTTCCTTCGTTCTTATGTTCTTATGTGCTTATGAAAAAGATTTTCCCCCCCTCCCTTCTGGAAGCAAACAGTGACATTAAAATCATGTTCCAGATTGGGCACCCTTTCCCCGGGTCGCTAAGGGTTGTAAACAATTTCACTCCCGGTCCTGCTTACAACTAGCTTTTCTTCTCCATTCCTCATCTCTCTCCTGTATGACTCCTAGATTTGTGTATCATCGTGTATCATTTTATTAATTATTATTGTGTTATCTTAGACCATATAGTGCAGGGACTATAATTTTTCGCCACGTAATACTGGTGCAGAACATATTTACCGCATGTATTAATCTTTCAAATAAGTGACTATATACTCAGTATAATTCTCAGTGTCGTGTGTTACAGATTTACCCTCTCTCTTTATATATATTGTTAATGTTCCTAGTGTTGTTACTATGCTCAGTATAATTCTGCAAGTGTTAATATTATTTTCTTTCAGACTTTGCTTACAGTAAGTTCATTACTAACGTAATTTTGTTTCTTCACTCTGCGAGCAGTGTTTCTTTTGATTATTTTTCTCTAATTTTAGTATACTGTTATTCATTTCAGTGTACTATCTTGTTCAATTATTTTTTTCTATAATTTTATTGTGGTAATTATCATTGCGTATTTCATTTCCAAGTATTTTTGTGACATTTTAATATTATGTTTTTTTTTATTTAATTTTCCTAGTCAAATTTGATTGCTTTATATATTTGTTTTAAATATTTTTGCTGAGATTACGTTATTTTGAGGCTTGTGTTCCCTGTTTCTTAGCAAGCAAGCCATTTTCCCAGTGCAGGAGCCATTTTCCCAGTGCAGGAGCCATTTTCCCAGTGCAGGAGCCATTTTCCCAGTGCAGGAGCCATTTTCCCAGTGCAGGAGGCATTTTCCCAGTGCAGGAGCCATTTTCCCAGTGCAGGAGCCATTTTCCCAGTGCAGGAGCCATTTTCCCAGTGCAGGAGCCATTTTCCCAGTGCAGGAGCCATTTTTTCCCCAGTGCAGGAGCCATTTTCCCAGTGCAGGAGCCATTTTCCAGTGCAGGAGCCATTTTCCCATGCAGTAGCCATTTTCCCATGCAGGAGCCATTTTCCCAGTGCAGGAGCCATTTTCCCAGTGCAGGAGCCATTTTCCCAGTGCAGGAGCCTTTTTCCCGTGCAGGAGCCATTTTCCCAGTGCAGGAGCCATTTTCCCAGTGCAGGAGCCATTTTCCCAGTGCAGGAGCCATTTTCCCAGTGCAGGAGCCATTTTCCCAGTGCAGGAGCCATTTTCCCATGCAGGAGCCATTTTCCCAGTGCAGGAGCATTTTCCCAGTGCAGGAGCCATTTTCCCAGTGCAGGAGCCATTTTCCCAGTGCAGGAGCCATTTTCCAGTGCAGAAGCCATCTCCAGTGCAGGACCCATTTTTTTCCAGTGCAGGAGCCATTTTCCCAGTGCAGGACCATTTTCCCAGTGCAGGAGCCATTTTCCCAGTGCAGGACCCATTTTCCCAGTGCAGGAGCCATTTTCCAGTGCAGGAGCCATTTTCCCAGTGCAGGAGTCATTTTCCCAGTGCAGGAGCCATTTTCCCAGTGCAGGAGCCATTTTCCCAGTGCAGGAGCCATTTTCCCAGTGCAGGAGCCATTTTCCCAGTGCAGGAGCCATTTTCCCAGGGCAGGAGCCATTTTCCCAGTGCAGGAGCGATTTTCCCAGTGCAGGAGCCATTTTCCCAGTGCAGGAGCCATTTTCCCAGTGCAGGAGCCATTTTCCCAGTGCAGGAGCCATTTTCTCAGTGCAGGAGCCATTTTCCCAGTGCAGGAGCCATTTTCCCAGTGCAGGAGCCATTTTCCCAGTGCAGGAGCCATTTTCCCAGTGCAGGAGCCATTTTCCAAGTGCAGGAGCCATTTTCCCAGTGCAGGAGCCATCTTCCCAGTGCAGGAGCCATTTTTTCCAGTGCAGGAGCCATTTTCCCAGTGCAGGAGCCATTTTCCCAGTGCAGGAGCCATTTTCCCAGTGCAGGAGCCATTTTCCCAGTGCAGGAGCCATTTTTCCAGTGCAGGAGCCATTTTCCCAGTGCAGGAGTCATTTTCCCAGTGCTAGGAGCCATTTTCCCATTTGCAGGAGCCATTTTCCCAGTGCAGGAGCCATTTTCCCAGTGCAGGAGCCATTTTCCCAGTGCAGGAGCCATTTTCCCAGGGCAGGAGCCATTTTCCCAGTGCAGGAGCGATTTTCCCAGTGCAGGAGCCATTTTCCCAGTGCAGGAGCCATTTTCCCAGTGCAGGAGCCATTTTCCCAGTGCAGGAGCCATTTTCTCAGTGCAGGAGCCATTTTCCCAGTGCAGGAGCCATTTTCCCAGTGCAGGAGCCATTTTCCCAGTGCAGGAGCCATTTTCCCACTGCAGGAGCCATTTTACCAGTGCAGGAGCCATTTTCCCAGTGCAGGAGCCATTTTCCCAGTGCAGGAGCCATTTTCCCAGTGCAGGAGCCATTTTCCCAGTGCAGGAGCCATTTTCCAGTGCAGGAGCCATTTTCCCAGTGCAGGAGCCATTTTTCCAGTGCAGAAGCCATTTTCAGTGCAGGAGCCATTTTCCCAGTGCAGGAGCCATTTTCCCAGTGCAGGAGCCATTTTCCCAGTGCAGGAGCCATTTTCCCAGTGCAGGAGCCATTTTCCCAGTGCAGGAGCCATTTTCCCAGTGCAGGAGCCATTTTCCCAGTGCAGGAGCCATTTTCCCATTGCAGGAGCCATTTTTCCAGTGCAGGAGCCATTTTCCTAGTGAATGAGCCATTTTCCCAGTGCAGGAGCCATTTTCCCAGTGCAGGAGCCATTTCCCAGTGCAGGATCCTTTTCCAGTGCAGGAGCCATTTTCCAGTGCAGAAGCCATTTTCCCAGTGCAGGAGCCATTTTCCAGTGCAGGAGCCATTTTTCCAGTGCAGGAGCCATTTTCCAGTGCAGGAGCCATTTTCCCAGTGCAGGAGCCATTTTTCCAGTGCAGGAGCCATTTTCCCAGTGCAGGAGCCATTTTCCCAGTGCAGGAGCCATTTTCCCAGTGCAGGAGCCATTTTTCCAGTGCAGGAGCCATTTTCC